TTACTAGTTAGAAGCATCTAATTAATACCTGGAGTTGGAGAGTTTGAAAAGAATCCAAGGCAGACCTGTAGAGGAGGAGGCTATGCGACAGCCGAAAGAGGACGACCCAACCTTGTAGTTGGAGGTGAGCGGTGAACATTGCAGACTTGCAGGGGTTGTAGTGACGACACAGTGAGAGGCTAAGAGCTTGAAGGGAATCACCAAATCACAGTTGAGATGGCCATGCGACAGTAGAAAAAGAATGACCCAGCCTTGGAGCTAGAGGTGAGCAGTGAGCGGTGGTGAGTGGTAAGCGTTGTAGTGGTTGTAGTGACGGCACGATGAGAGGTGGAGAGCTTGAAGGGAATCACCGATTCACTAATTCACAGTTGAGATGAAGACAGAGAGAATTGAGCAATAATTACATCACAAAGCATGCGCAACAGAGGAGAGGAGATTGACTAGAGAGAGGAATCGTAATTCGCAAGCGGCAAACAAAGAGACTGAAATCTTTGGATAATTGGATTGTCCTTCTACTTCTAGGGTTATGTAAATTGGGCTGAGCAATTAGGTTTAGGAATATTAGATTGACAAAAAAAAAAGGGTTAGGCTGACAATCGGGTTTGGAAAATTTGAAAAAAGAATGGGTTATGAAATTTAAGTTATGTTGGTATTGGGTTAGCTAATTAAATTCAGTAAGTAAAAATTAATTGCTAACATATGTACAAAAAAAAAATATATAAATAAATTTATATTATTTTATTTTATATGAATCCCCACAGTTTAGCACGGTAGAGGAAATTCTCTATAAGGTTTCACGGGAAAAAATTGTCTCTATCTCCACTCCACGGAGAGGAATATTATTGCAATCTTCATCTTTGTGGCAGGGATCTCTGTAAAGCTTTGCAGATCGTAAAGAAAATTACCATCTCTAGGAAAAGCGAGAGGGTGAAAGGGGAAAGGAGGAGACAGAGAAGTAGGGGGGAAGAGAGAGAAAATGAAATAAAATCGAAGACGAAGATGAAATAGGGAGTAAGGTAACAGCGGAAAAATCAAAACGGCAACGTATGATACCGACGAAGTTTTCCCATCAC